TGTAAAATATGGTGTATATATATATATACTCTATAAATGATTATATTATGAATAAAGTAGTTTACACTAACAGATTTTGTCAATTTTATAGTAAATACGCCCTCCGTCTTTTAAAACTTTGTCATCTTTCGTTTTTGGGGCGTCCCAAAAAACTTAGCCACTTTCACTTTTTATCAATTATTTCGTGGTTTCTGTTATTTCTCTCTCCTCTGCACAAACCTCAACCGCACAGTTTTTACTTTATTATTCTCCGTGCCGGTCAACTTTGGCAAAGTTTTAAAGGACGGAGGTAGTAGTAGGGAAAACTATCAAATAGGCCCCCCAACTTTTCAGAAAAATCAATTAAGCCCACATACTAATAATTCGTCCAATTAAACCCTCGAACGTACTAACAGATGTCAAAACCTCTTTTTAACCAGTAATGAATAAGTTACCAGGTTACTTGTACACGTGGCCACAATTTTTCTATTTTTCCCCATTTTTCTCTTTTCCCTTTCTTTTTTCTTTCTTTTTTCCCTATCCTCCACGGTCTTTCTCCTTCAACCAGCGTTCCACCCCTTTCTAGCAAACTTCAGCCCACCCCTTCCTCCATCTTCTTCCAATCCCCCACCCACCCTTTCGTCTGCCCCTTTCTTCTTTCTTGCGCCACCAATCGCTCGTCGTCCGGCAATGGAGTCCGAAAGAAACCTAGATCGCCGGAAATGCTCAAGTACCCCTCACACGCCGGTCATCCCCTTTCCGCGAATTCATCGCACCTAGTTCTCCATTGAACCTTTCAACGCAAGTCTGCATTCCATGAAACTTCCAGATCGATTCCAGATACGTAGCTTCAATTTGGCCATCTTCTAATCGGCGGCAGATAAGAGGTAGAGAAGAGGCAGAGGCGCACGGAGGGAGTGAATTGAGCCTGAGGAACGACTCACAGAGAACTGGGGGGGGAGAAGAGAATGGGGAAATGACGTGCACTTTGTCGTGTATGCACTCAAAAATAAATATCAATACGACACTAATACGTAGTATAGTGTAGTAAGGTTCGTATCCACAGGGAAAGGAACACTTCTCTTTTTATAGAATTAGAAATAAGTAACAAGGGGGTTTTTTATGATTGGTTTATGAACTTAAATTGTATTTAAACACAAAGATGAACGAGTTATGTGGTTTAATTAATGAGAAGAAGACCTGGCTTTGCTTTTATCCTCTAAATGAAATGTTCATCGATCCCGGTTATATCTTTAACTATTTTCCTCTCGAATACTCAATCGAGGAGTATATCCAATTCATCGAGGGTAGTTATTAATAACGAAACGCATTCATTAATAAAACTTACTACCGAGTTAATATAGAACACGCGCCATATATTCACTCGATAGTAGCAATAAATAGAGATGAAAACGATGGAGATTGATAACCTCAACACAAGCGGTTTATCGGTTTAATCAATATAATTAATTCCCCTTAGGTTATTAACCATGAGACGCATGCATTAACAACCCAAGTTTACTACCGTGAAAGGATCGAATTAATAACAAGCGTATTAATCGACCGATTCTAGTATTGATTAATATATGAAACAAAACTAGTTGATCCATTAAGCAATGCTCAAAATATTAATATGTAATAGGAATAGGAATTAATTAATATTCAAGGAAGAAGATTAAAGAAAATAACTCACAACTTAGTGAACTTACAATTCATTAAGCTTCAAAGTAGCAAAACCAAGATGGAAGAGTTTAGCTCCTCATTTGGGACTAAACATGATAGAAAATATAAAGAAAACACTAATCTAAACTGAGCTAAAGAGTATATGTGAATTGGTGATTTTATTGTGAAGGAAAGAGGTGTATTTATAAGCTTTTGGGGGCTGCAGGGTCTGAAACCCGATCGGGTATATAGGATACCCGATCGGGTAGCTTAGGAAATTGTCCAGAAAGTCACTTTTCTGGGCATACCCGATCGGGTATGTCGGCATACCCGATCGGGTATGTGACAAATCTTCCCGAAAATTTGCTCCCACGATCATTTGTTCCCGGATTTGATTTGGACAATCGAATCAAGCGAATACCCGATCGGGTATAGGCAATATCCGACCGGGTACATGAGTATTTTTTCCAAATCGAAATCTTTCTTGTCTCCTTGCACTTTCCTTGATATTTTAAGGTCCAATCTTGATCCCTTGGATGATCTTTGACCTGTTTAGCTCAGAATAATCCTAATCTAAACAAATTACAAATAAAAATGAAAATAAAATATTACACCAAAAGTGTGTAATTTCCACAACTAGAACTAATAAAAACTAGTTAAAAATACAAACATACAGTCGGAAATTACACGAATATCAGGAAAGAAAGAAGAAAGGGAGAAGTTGCAGGGAGAACTGACACAGGGAAGAAGGAAGCACTAAAGAAAGTGCAGGGAAGAAGAAAGAAAAGAGGAAAGAAAAAGAAAATGAAAAAATGCCACATCACATGCCACGTATGCAATTCAACCGGAAATTGAGATGTTACCTGCTAAAAAGAGAATTTGACATTTTTTGAGGAGGAGGGTTTGATTGAATAAATTTTCAGTATGAGGACTTAATTGATTTTTTTGAAAAGTTGAAGGGCTTATTTGATACTTTTCCCCTAATAGTATGTGTAATATTATGTAATTCTTTTTTTCCCTATAATATTATGTAATTCTATTACATATTTAGTTCTAATATTTTTTATTTAATTATATGTACAATACTTTCAAGGTATATTATAACTATGCACTTGAGTATTCGGGTGGATACTGCTTTTTAACAACTTGATACTTGGAAAGTAAATTATAAAGCAAAAAAAATGTGAAAAATTTATAGAAACGCAATTAGCTCATTTATCATAAACCATTTGCATAGCTCTCAAAAAAATATGTAGTCATTTTTTGTTAAAAAATTACTTGAAACGGCTAACAGAGAGTGAAAAAAATTGTATTTTTAGGGATAGAAAAAATTGTTTTTTGTTATGGTTATAGGCAGAATTGCAGCAAATAGATTCATTTGCTGCGGTTCCAGCTATAATCGCAACAAATAACCCGTTTTTCGATAATTTTAGATATAGTTTGTTTCATGCTCGGTTATCGAGTTAAGGTTTTATAAAACCATATACGTAGTACTCCGTACTTTTTAGAGATCTATGCGCACAATGATTTAATTTACTTTTAAAGAAATGAAATTGACCTAAATAAGACTAAAACATAGTCTAAACTCATAATTAGGACTACAAGTTTATTATTGCCTAAATAGGATTCCGGATTACAATTTTGCCCTTCACTTAATTAAACCAAACCCCAGACCCAGAAGTCGGCGACCTGCAATTCCTCAATCGATCTTCTTCTCCCGTCGATCGCAACCTGCATTTAATCTATACGGAGCATTTGAACTCGTATCCAGACATCCGATTTATCATTCCTAGGTTTGCTTGTCCGTATTTCAAAGTCATAACAACTAATTCAAGATGCCTCACAGAGCTAGGCCTATGATAGGGCTTCTCCTATTTGTTGGTCTAAACGATGCTTTTGTCACTACAATAGAGCTTGTGTATGATTTTGTATGCTTCCTCCCATACTGGGAACGAAGAGCATGTTTCTATTTCATCCAAGGTTGGTCCTCTTCTTCTTCCTCTACTTCTTTCTCCTCTTCCTCTACTTCTAATCGTCTTCAAATTTCTGGTCCGATGCTCTCTTTTTTTTCTTTCGATTTTTTGGATTTGAATTTTATTTATTAATTTAGATTTTTTGGATATGAATTTTATTTATTCAAGAAAAATGACACTTTTATAATCTGAGTTTGACAAAATGATTGGTTATTTGAAAACAAAATGTTACGTATGTGGCAGTACATTTACCAATATGGCAATCTGAAAATGTCATGAAAATGACATTTTTCTTTTTTTCTTTTTTTGAAAATCTCATCTTCTTCTTTGAAACTGTCACCTTAGCAAAAGTGACATAAAACACGCCACTTAATATATGCATACACAATAATGACATTCTCAATATGACATTTCCAAATGCTGTAATGACATAGAAGTGACATTATTTAAAAATAACAATAATGACACAATAATGTCAATTTCGTATAGAAACATGACATTCCCAATATGACATTTTCAAATACTGTAATGACATAAAAGTGACATTTTTTAAAAGTACCCAATAATATATTCTGACATTCTCTTATTCAAAAAGTGACATTTACTGGAATCATTAGTCAGGACATTTTGAGATTCAAATTAATCAAAATTGATAACAAGAATTTCAAGTTATACATCTATTGATAAAAAATTTAAAAAAAAAGGAGAACTAGGAAGAAGAAGAAGAAGAAATAAAAGAAGAAGAAGAAGAAGAAGAGGAGGAGCAGAAGAAAAAGATGAAGAAACTTACCTGGGCAGACTCTCCAGAGCGCTAGCGACGCACCTAGCGAGTCTCCAGATCGCTAGCGACGCAACTAAGAGAGCTATTTTGTCCAAATACAAATAATTAGTCCTATTAAGAGGATTTAAAACATTATGTCCTATTTTTGCAATTCAACCTTCTTTTAGTCCTATTTAGCTAAATCTCTCTTTAAAGAACTACATTTTTTACTTCGGTGTAGCTACTTACTAAGCTTTTGGAGTGCCCTTTTACATAACCTCTGATACATTATATTTCGGCAGTATTATGTTAGTGCACCATCCTGCTTTTCTAGCTCAATCTAGCATTTAATATATTGTATTAATTAATGAGATATGTAACGTTTCAACATTTGTAACCGTTGAAACATTTTAGCCATAGATTATCTACGATTTTAATGTAATTAAAGGAGTCCCGGTAGGTTTCAGTGTTATATATATGGTCTTCAATCTACCATGTATGATCATAAAAAGATCGTTTTTGCCTAAAGAATATGACCTGTGCAAATTAAAGTGCGGCATGCAAAGGGCCTCCCCTCCTAAGTCGGCAAAATATATAAATGCAAGTGATATTTAATTTGTTGGGATTATGCAATCCATATATTTTCAGATAAAAAAAATAAGTTTTATACAAATATATTCCTAAAACATTATCGATCAAAGTAATTTGAGCAGTTGTAATCCTTTGGATCCTGAATTTATATATATATGTAGATGTCAAAGATTGGTTGCAGAAGCAAAGGCGGGAGCAATCGTTCATCACTGCAATGGTTATTCAGAATTACTATGGTTCTTCAGTTCCTCTTCCTAATGGTTGTTTACTCGGCCGATAATGCATCCACAGATATTAGGTACGTATGTCTATTTTTAATCAATGGTACTCCCTCCGTCCCTAAATTTACTTCCAACTTTCCTTTTTCGTCCGTCCCAAAAAGAATTTCACTTTCACTTTTTGGCAAAGAATTTGTGGTTCACAGCATTTCTCTCTCCTCTGCACAACTCTCCACCACGCAATTCTCACTTTCTTAATCACCGTGCCACTTTAATTTGGAAGAACAATCAGGGACGGAGGTAGTAATTTGTTCAAAACTTTCAATTAGTATATCGGTGGGGTCTGGCCCAATTATTCCCCAAACCAAATATAATTTGTTTTCTATTCATTCGGTAGCAATATAATTCTTTTAATCTAATTTAGAGTCTTTTTGGTGATTCTGTTTTTCGGTTTATCAGCTTTATCAGCCAACTTTTTAACCGATCAAGCAACTTTTGATTTCGCACGCTAAATTTCGTAATTTTAGGAAAAAGTAAGGTTGTAGATACTTTTCTGACTGTATTGATTGAAGTTATTTTAGATGACCATTTTAAATATATTTTTTTATATAAATTTTTCTTTATTTTTTAATAAAATATATTTAAATATAATCTTCACATAAATAAACAGAATCAGCTAATACAACCAGTTCAGTTAAAACATTATATATTTCAACAGAATTAATCGATTAAACTGATTTCAGTGTTACCAAAGATGCTCTTAAACTGAACCCCACCCAAATGGAATATAACGAATAATGTACAAATTAATCGAACAATCAAAATGAACCAAAAGAAACCCAATTTTATACTCCGTATTACGTTACGGCTCGTTTAATTTCTAAATGTTTGCCATTTTTAGAATGTTGACTTTAAAAATTTGTCCTTTTTTAATCAATGGATAATTTGAGTTTGCACCCCATTTTATTGTGCGTTTTTAAGAAACTTTGTTTTTGCGCTCTAACCTCATAAGGCATTTTTGTCTTTTCAAATAGGGTAGGGGTGCAAAAACAAAGATTTTGAAAAAATGGGGTGCACCGTCCAATTTGGACAATAAAATGGTATGCAAACTCAAATTATCCCTACAATCAAACAAATATGTGCTTTTCATACTGTTTTACTCGTAGTATTTAAGATGTTTTTACTTGGACTGTAATTTGTATCAGATCAGACTTGAGTAATTATAAAAATACAAAGAAATCAGACCAGACCAAACTATATCAGTAAATTACAGTCAAGTAAAAAACATCCTTATGCCTATCCAATTTTTCAGCATATAATAAAATTGCAGGTTAAATTCGACAAATACTGGCCAGAAAGTTTCACAGCCTCTGAGATTGGATGTCACGAAAAAACATGTAAATTAATCACTGAGCTTTCACAATTATGCAGTGCTTCATCATAATTCGACGAACATCAGAGGGTTTTGATCTTTTGTTATCTCTCTATGCTTGATCACATTATGGTTTCTTACTTTACTGATTCCGGGAAACATTAATAAGATGATACTAATAGTAAAATACCCATAAAATAAATTTTAACCTTTCAATTTCGATCAGATGACGTCACATAGATCTGACGTTAGTAAACTAGACCTAAGTAGAAAATTTCAATTCAAACAAAAACATTTAAGTGGTGTCCATTTTTTGTAATTATTTTGAGTTTCTAATTTCAAGTATTAATAAGGATGTTTTTAGGTAATTTGTTAGTCTGGTCTCATCTGGTCTGGTCTGATCTAGTCTGGTTTCTTTGTATTTTTATAACTACCCAAGTCTGGTCTGATCTGATCTGATCTAATATAGTATGGGACAGATCACAGTCCAACTAAAAACATCCTAATTTATAACACCTGAGTTTGTTTTTTCATTTCAATATATAGACTCTTCGTAATTTTTTATTGGAAACTATAGGGTTTTGAAAAGATTAATAAAAAATTTGGAGTGTTGGGTAGTGTAGTGTTGTGTAGAAGTGTAAAAAGCATTACAGAATGGATGAAGATAATGTAGGATAGAAAGATGAATACTAGTTTACAAGAATATTACTAAAATAAAACTTATTTATACAAATATGACTATTCACTAGTAGTTTACTACAATATAGTGTTGTGGTAACTTAAGTTCAAAACTTTAACATGAATTACTATAATTTCATTATTACTCTAGTAACTAATCATATTTTTGTAAACCATCTTTTTTTGGTCATATTTATGTAATTATTTCTAGATAAAATTGGGAATATATGAAAAATCATAGGCTTAAATACGTTTTTAGACCCTACAAATATGACACATTTTGGTTTAAGTCCCTGCAAAATATTTTTCTTGTTTTTCATCCCTGCAATATACACTATTTTGCTTTTAGTCCATCTCCAATTCCGAAACTACTCTACTTACAACAAAAATTATTGTTAGTTATATAAATCTAGTAAAAATATGTAGATTTATCCTTTTAAAATTTTCTGAGGCTAATATGAGAGTTAAAATAATTTAAAACTAAGTATTCATATTTTGAAAATATATATTAAAAACTTTCTAAAAATATAAAATAAAATACTTTTTAAATAACATGACAAAGAATTAGAGGAAATGTATTAATCGGGGTTATTTTGAGGTCAAAACGGAGATTGTTATCACCAATGATGGACTAAAAAGAAAACCAACGTAATTGCAGGGACGAAAAACAAAGAAATAATTTTGCAGGGATGTAAAACAAAATGTACTATATTTGCAGGGACTAAACACATATTTAAACCAAAATCATAATACAAATAAAAACTACTCATCCGTTCCATTAAAAGTCTCATTTTTCCTTTTTGAGAAATCTCACTAAGATTGTTTCATATTACATTTGATAAAATTTGTGTTGTTCTAAATCACTTTTCTCTATTCTTATTTTATCAATTCAATATAAATCACATAAACTCAATTTTCTTAATAACCATGTCACCATCCTCTTGTCTCAATGTTAGTGGGATGGCGGTAGTAACTCTTAATATAGCAAATAAAAAATAGGAAGTGCCTACTTTTAGTACATTATCTAAATACATAAATCTAATTATTGATACTTATTTAAGTTTTAACATTCAACATTTAAGTTTAGGAATTTATATTTGTACACAAAATTAGTATGCAAATTGTACATTCTCTAGTTGTCTGTGTACACATAGAATTAATTTTAAAAAAATTATAATAGAACAAGAATTAATGTGATGTGGAAACTTTAAACAACAACCCACGGGTTGTATTTTTTGAAAGATGCTCTGTGTACACATTTTTGTATACACATTTTATACATTTATCTGTTGTACGCATAAAGAATTGTCTATCCACAAACAACTCTGTAGAATTGTTTGTCCATAGACAATTCTGCAGACAATTATAATTGTGCGTGAGACAGACAAGTGTAAAATTGTCAATAGCACAACTCTATTTCTTTTGTGTGAGATTTTGGTTCGGAATGACTTATTTGACAGGTGGTAATGGAAAACGGTCACATAAAAGTAACGTTCACTAATCCAACCGGATCCATTGCAGCAATTGAATACAATGGAACTGATAACGTATTGGAATATTCCAGAAAGGAAACCGATAGAGCGTAAGATCCCTTCCTTCCCTCCTCATTCGTGCTTCAAACCTATGCATATTTAAGAAATGGGACCGAAACACGACCCGGATGTGATCAGGTCACGGTCACGTGTCAACTCGGACTCATTTGAATTCACCCTGTCAATGCCATAAAGCCGGTCAACCATATAATACTCTCTTCGTTCCAATATAAAGAGCACATTTGCGTTTTCAAACATTTTTAGGAGGAACACTGTTGGACACTGTTTGGACACTGTTTGCCACTCTTTTGTACTGTTTTGTTTGCCAAAAAAAGGAAATGTGTCATTTATATTGGGACGACCCAAAAAGGAATATGTGTCTTTTACATTGGGACGGAGAGAGTAATAAATATACAATTGTATTCAAAATGTAAAGAAAACACAATTATTATTTCATAATAATCATTTGATAACAATACTTACTAAACATTTAAAAGTTAAATGTGACCCGCTAGTTACATGGGTTTTTATTTTTACACGGCCTCGAGGTTTTAGTCTTATCCCCCATTTTTTGGTTAAAAATGCATTAAAAAAACCGGATTCCACGTTTTTGGATTTTTCCATCCTTTGACCATTTCTTTGACCATTTCTGGATTTTTAACTAACCGAACCCGGTATTGGTCCGGGTTGCCGGATTCCAGGTTGACCGGCGGGTCCGGGTCGTTTTTTAAACATAGCTTCAAACTTATCCGTTTTATCCATTTTCTTTTATACTTTTCCATTAGTTAATAAAATCTATGAGAGAATTTACTTAGAAAAATACAATGATGCAGAAAAGGAGAAAAATATATATTGATGATTGAATTAAGGTGACAAGAAGAAGAAAAAAGAAGAAAAAATATAAAGTAAATAAAAAGAGAATATAAAAAAGGAGTATAATTTAAGAAATTTCCAAATTATTTCTTTTCTTTCCTTAAATTTTCCACTCACACCGATCAAATGTAGACTATTGCTGTCAATTTTTTCATTTATCAATCAATTTAAGACTTGATAGATAAATGAATTATAATTTATTAATAAGGAGCATAAGAAAGTGATTGATTCTTCTCTTATTTCAGGGAATGGGATATTGTTTGGAGTACACCGAAAAGGCCTAACAAGTTTGATATGTGTGTTCTCAAACTCAGGGCATCTTTTTAATTCTCTTTTCAAGATTCTATTGAAAATGCTTATCATACCAATGCACCATACTTTTTCATCACTCAATGTTTGTACTTTGAGTTTTTTTAATTCTTTCAATCAACTAATGTTTTAACGATATATTTTTAAAAATAGAAGTTCCTTAGTCCTATTAGTCCGATTTTGAAAGAAATTAATAACAGTACTCCTTTTCTAATAGCGAATTTCATTGAAAAAAATAAACAGTACAATGCGAAAAAGAAATAGATGAAAGAAAATACTACTATGAGAGGCATAACTACGTTGAGAGTACTCCTATTTGAGAAAATAACTAGTATTCACTATAGAGAAAGAAAAGCTTAATAAGAGTACTCCTATTTAAGAAACTGTGTTATACTTTACTCCTATTTTATTTTAGGTAATTTTGAGTTTTTAAAATTTTCAATTAGTAGATGGCAAAGAAAAATTCAATTAGTTGGGGGATCTATATGTAGATCAAACTGACGAATATATCTTACCATGCATGCATGTTGTACCCGCACGCAGTCTTTTCGCAACAAATTTCACAGTGATAGTCGACGATGAAAAGCAGATCGAGCTTTCTTTTACAAAATCTTTTCAATCCCATGAAGATGCAAGTGCTCCCCTCATTGTTGACAAAAGGTGTGTTGCTCGTACTAATATTATCCTAGTTCCTTTGAAATAATTAAAGGGTAAACGTTAAATGGAGTACAAGAAACAAAATGCAATGAAAGTACAATAATTAAGGAGTTAAACAATTTAGAGAAAATATCATGTTAGTTTTGTACTAGCAAGCTTGGTTTGAAGTTGCGTTTGATTATTCCTCGCGGTCGTCTCAGTATGTCTTTTGGATTTTTTGGAAGTGACTACGGTGAAATCATCACCCTCTATACGGTGAAACCATGAGCCTCTAAAGGTGTTGTGGAGCAGCTTTAGTGTCTAAACCCCTGACTTGCGGCTATCCCCTAGTATCTAAGTCACCTGACTTAGATACAAAATGCAATGAAAGTACAATATAAAGTTATTTGTTCCCCCCCCCCCCCCACAAGCTCCATCAGTGTCTAACAGCCCCATCCAACTAACCCTGGACCCAACGAACCCTTCCCACTGCCCTAGTCACCTGGCCTACTACCAACCTAGTGATCGATTGCAACCGCTGACTTGCGGCTATCCCCTCGTGAAACTCACATCTGGCTTAGTTTAACTTGCAAGGCTAAGTTAAATTCTCAAATTCTCCGGAATTCAATCCCTCCTTTCCCTTTTGGACCGCAAAGCTTTCCCCATATGGTCCATCTAATATCTCCATTATCACCCCCATTCCACCAGATACCATTTATCAGTCTTTCCAGTTCTAGACTTAGTTCCTTAGGCAAAAGAAACATATTCATAGCATAGTTTGGGATTTCTAGAATGACATTCTTAACAACACTTCTCTGCTCGGTTTTTACCCATTTGTGATGCAGTTTCATGTTCAAAGTAATGCATTGTTGCGATGACATTTTTGAATTACTTTTAACCAAAATGATACATTGACGACACACTTAGAGACTAGATCTTAAATTTGATGTTGCTGATTCGTTTGCTTATTGTTTATTCTAGAAGATGACTTTTTTATTTGAAGCAAAATATATCATTTAGAATGACTTAAAAATTGTTATCTACATCCATCAAATAGTGCAGGTATGTGCTCCAGCCTGGGCGTTCAGGATTTTACACATACGCAATATTTTATCACCCTCAAGGATGGCCAGATATGGACATTGGTGAAGCAAGGATTGCCTTTAACCTAAGAAAAAGCATGTAAGTTCATTTGGTTAAACAAAAAAAAACTTGCATATTTTTTTATTATTTTCTTTAGTCTATTATATTTCATTTGTCCTCTTCACACACTTTAAAAATAGAAAACAATACAATCTACTAGTAGTCCATAATATTGAAAAGAGTTCATGTAAAATGAGAAATATTAAATCCTTTCAATATATTTTAAGAATCCAAATACATAGTATATTACTAATTTACCAAAATAAAAAACTGGAAACATATTTCAAATAATTTGAATATGTGACTGCACTTCAAATTCTTTTAAAGATTCTAAATAAAGTAGAACTATATTTATATACTTTTATGTATGAAAACGAGATACTCCAATTATAGGAAATAATAGAAACAAGACTATGCATACAGTTCAATGATCTAATTTCATATAAGGTCTTAGATGAGTTTTTAAATCTGATAGCTAATATATTGTTCTGATAACCTTACTTGACTTTTAGAAATCTATTCTTATTCCGCCGTTTTTGACGTTTTAATCATTTCCCATCTAATCCTAATTTGGTCTATTGTTTATTATTTCATTGCAATTCTCTCTTAATTGTCTAGTTGTAGCATATATAATCGTCCCTTTTATTTCAAACCCTTATTACCCTCCTATTTAAATGAGATCCGCTGGAAGGGAAATGGGATTGCAACAAGATCGAGCAGACAACCTTGATAATGATTAAATAAATATCATGCATTTAAACCCACAAGAACGGAAGCCTAGATCATGATTAATTACCCTCATCAATCCCAAATCCTTAATTCAAACTATTCACAATTCATAATTGAAAAATCAGCAGAATTGAGATGGAAAGAATTAATTTTCATTAATTAAAAAGAGAGAAAGCATTCACAAACAATCCTAAAATTTTGAAGATCCAATGCTGAAAAATAGAATAAAATAAAATTCGTCCTGAGGTTTTTTTTAAACTTAGTCTAACCTAAAATCGGGGTTTACAGGCTGTTTAAATAGAAAACAGTGAAAACAGGCTGAATTTGGGCCTTTTGGGCCGAAATGGGGTTTACAGCATGCACACCTCATGTTTGAATTTGGCTATGCTTCCATCAACAAATATGGAATTGGGTCATCCAATCAAAAGATATAAATGAAATGGTGGAAGGTCGCATCATGAAATCTCAATAGCGATTATTTATCTTCCTCGTTTGTTTTAATCTTGATCCTCTCACATTATCTTCATGGTGTCTGCATATGATTTCTAGCCCATTGAGTTATTGTTCATATGAAACTTGAATCGTTTCATTTGGATGTTTCTACGAAAAGATACACTCAAACAATTGATAAAGCGTCATCCTTGAACTCCACGTTTTTTCTCGTACTTATTCCTTGAGCTCCCTTGACTTCAAACCTTCATCATTGATTCCTCATACACCTTCAATGCCTTTTATCAACTCTCAATTGTGTTAAATCTCCCTGAACAATTCTCTCACGCCGGTGTCAGGCTTAGTTACCTGATTTTCACTCAAAAAACTACCAAAAACAAACCAAAACCCGGTAAACTATGACTTGAGCTAATTAAGCGCTTTGTGATACAATTAGGTTAGGAAAATTGACCAAACTCTCCTTGGGTGTATTATTTTATTTTTTGGGTCTTGAAGCTATGGAACGGGAAAAAAGTGTTCGTCACTCAACACACACACACAGAAACACATACATTGTGTGCGTGCAATCCTCCATGGCAGACTCTTAACTCACCCAATGATTATATGTCATTGCATGATTGGTCCACATCCTATCTCACCTCTTGCTGCCACCTGAAGCTCTCATAATCGGCGCACACGCATGTGCATGACGTTGTATTTCTGGTCAGAGTTTTGATCGGGAATTATCTTTCAGCTCTCCAACACATCTTCAACCTTCTCTGAAGTTTATTTTTTGATACGCGTAGGGCTCGAATTATCTTTTGTTTGACAAAACCTAGGAACGGGCTTCATATTTTCTTAAATTCCGTAATGGTCAACAGGTTTTATTCTTTAGTCTCCATATTTTGATTCATGTACAAGAACCTAACGGTAAGTCTACATTGATCAACTGATATCCAATATCTTTTTTTACAGCTGATAAAAAACAAATGTCTTCACATTGTGATACGAAAACCTCTATCATATTAAATAACTAACCTTTGATAGTATCTAAAGTTATTCCAAATAACTTTAAAATAACTGAGAATATGATAAACTTTGTGACTCCAGTTATCTTGAGTGGAGAAAAACTACCAAACGTTAGTTGAGGTACTCCGATAAATACATCCACTTGGTTGATGAACCACCACATGAGGAAATTGACAAAGTCACTAACAATGTGTTTGGCTTTGTTGATGATTCAAAAGTCCATGTAGAATGACGTAATGTGTATGTTAGTCATTATGATACTATGATAGAATTGTTTGATTGTTTGAAATTTATGTATCCTACCAAAGATAACCTTACCATATGTAGGATGTCTGCAAAGCCTTTTATAGAGATGAAATGAAATAAGCCTCTAATGGCTTATTTTATGGATTTCACAAAAACATATGAAGAGTTAATACATTAACAACATTAAATCCTGATAACAAAATGCAGGAGAGACAGCAAAACAAGGGGTAGTCATGAATTTTTTTGTCAAGTCTTACGTGAGATTTTGAAAAGCCAAAGCACATGTCGTCTAGTGTTGTGGTATCTTCTATTCAAGACACACTTAGTAGAGTGCGTCACACTCAACTTTCATCCACATCATCAACAACTCAGTCAAATAATGCATTCGTAGGGAAAACTGGCCATGTGTTGGCCCATTGGCAAAGGAGTGATATGCAACTACTAAAAGATACTCGGACTTATGATATAAAAAATGTAGGAAATTGAAGTTCAAAAATCAAGGAAATCAAGTTGCTCACATTGCTTCTGCTACACAATCATTTAATGGATCAATTACCATGTCTTCGAGGAATCTGAGAAATTTCTTGGCTTCCACACTTATCTCGACTGATTCGGGTAATCCAAGCACATATCTTGTTTTTCATCCTCAAAACGCGTTATTGACACTAGAGCAACATATCACATGACAAGTAATCATAGACCTTTTTCCTCATTCCAAACTCCCCTACATACTTCTAATGTTATTTTGGTCGATGGGTCTACCTCACTAGTCTTTGGGTTGGGTACAATTGTCCCAATCTTTACCTTACATTTGTCACCAGTCTTAAGTCTTCCCATCTTTGATTTTGATTTCATTTCGATCAGTTAAATCACACATATGCTTAACCATTATGTAACTTTTTTCCTGGATATTGTGTATTTCAGGATCTGCTGACAAATTAGATTATTGGTAAAAGATATGATTCGGTTAGTGTGTTGGATACATCATTACCCAAAGCCATCTCTTTTCATGGGATTGAAATTGTATTAAACGCTCACTACCGACTATGAAACCCATCTCTCCTGTTGTTGAAGACACTACAATCTCAATATAGTAAGGTGGTATCTTTACGACGTGATTCATGTGCATATTTAAATCATCGTTGCACTAGTTTAAGTACTTGAGTCAATAGATGAGGACATGCTCTTTTGAACTTGTTCATTCAGATGTGTTAGGGCATTTGTTTGGGTTATTTTCTCATTTTCTTGCCTTTTGTGCTGAAATCAAAACTCAATTTAATGTCCTTGTTCATGTTTTAAGAGTATTTGTCTGCCTTATTTAAGTTGTATATCGCTCAACATGGCATCATTCACCAAACTTCCAGCGTACACCCACCTCCTTAAATGGGGTTGATGAACGTATGAAGAAGCATCTATTAGAAATTGGGTGAACTCTTCTCTTCTAACTGAATGTGCCTAAATAGTTTTGGGCAGACGGTGTGTCTGCTGCATGTTTTTTGATCAATCGAATGCGGTCTACCTTCTATTTTGGCTCCATATCAATGCTTATTTCCAAAGTGAACCTTTTCCTATACTGCCTAAAATATTTGGTTGCACTTGTTTTGTTCGAGATGGTAATCTCCATATAACAAAGTGTATACCTCAAGTTATTAAAGTGCATTTTCATAGGCTACTCTCGAGTTTAAAAGGGGTACATATGGTTTTATCCAAGTATAGGTCGGTATCTTGTTTTAATTGATGTCTCGTTTTTTGAAAATACACATTTTCATCACCAAAAGGAGATACTTGTAGGGAGAATGAAGATACTCATTTACAAAATCACTATACATGAGTCTACACCTTCGATAAGTACACCGTATCTTACCATTCCCGGCCCCAGGTCTCTTGGTTTACACTCGTCGAAACAAAGCATCTATGAAGCCTTATCCCAGTCTAATCTCATGTCCTTTACCAATGCCATCATCTTAATATTCACATCCTACCACATATATTGACCCCCCGATAGCACTACGTAAAGGTATACGGTCTTGTACTCATCATGTTCTTTCTTTCGTATCAATTCATCATCTCTCCCTCACCTAATCTTAATATTCACATATTTTGACCTCCCAAGAAATGCAGTGATAAAGAAAATGAAAGCTTTGGATCTTAATGGTACTTTAGATTTGGTGGACTTGCCTAAAGGGAAGAAATCTATTAGATGCAAATGGGGCCTTTGATGTTAGGGTTCATTGGGGTACGTGATCCATTGCTCGGTTGAAAGCTCGAATCATCGATAACAATTATGCTTAGACCTATGGTATTGATTATTCTGACACTTTTTCTCATGTTGCTAAATTAACATATGTGAAGTTACGTATTTCCCTTTCTGCTACTCATGGTTGGCACTTACATGAACTGGACATTAAAATGTGTTCCTGCACGGAGATGTCCGGGAGGAAGTGTATATCGAGCAACCTACAAGATTCATTGCTTGTGGCGATATGAGAGAGTTTGCTGAATTCACATGTCTCTTTATGGCTTGAAATAAAGCCTGCATGATTTGGAAAGTGTAGTCAATCAGTTGATCAATTTAGAATGATATAAGGCCAATCAGATCACCTTAT